AAAAAAAAAAAAAAAACAATAATTACTTGATTGGTAAAAAGGGTATTTTTTCGGAAACTCTGAATTTTTATTTTAAAAAAAAAAAATTAAAAAGTGACTGAATTGTATGATTTTTGACAGTTTCATTTCTGATTTAAATAGAATAATGCCAAAATTATTTTCTTTTCATAAAACTTTTTCTGAAACTATCATTTTTATCGAAGAAGAAAGAAAATTAAAAAATAAATGAACTGTATAATTCTTGGTAATCTCAAAAAAAAAAAACGAAACTAAAATTTCAAAAATGATATCATTTTTAGAACTAATATCTAATTTTTTTATCAAAATATAATGCCAGGATTATTTTGATTAAAACAAGGATATTACGGATCGATTGATCAATGGATCAATGAATCGATGGATCGATGAATGAAATTCATGCGTCCGAGTGAGAATGAAATGAATTGCAATTAAATTAATTAAATACTTCAAGAAAATTAATTGAAAAAATTTAGCAACATCAGTGATAAGCAACAGCAGCAACAACAACAATAACAAACAACAAGCAACAACAATAAACAACGACGACAAAACAACAACAAGACGGCAACAAACAACAACAATAAATAATAATAACAATAACAGCAAACAACAACAACAAGCAACAACAATGGCGAGCAACAACAATACCAAACAACAACAATAAGAACAACAACAATAGCAATAAATAACAACAAACACCGACACTAAACAATAACAACAGCAAATAATATGCAACAATAGTAAATAACAAAAACAAAAACCAACAGCAATAAATAACAACAACAAACGGCGACAAACAATAACAACAATGACAAGCAACAATGGCAAACAACATCAAGTAACAACAATAACAACAAACAAACAGTGACGACAAGCAACAACAAACAATAACAATAACAACAATGACAAGTAACAATAACAAATGATAAACAACAGCAAGCAGAAATAATAACAAATATTAATGACTAACAGCAACAACAAGCAACGACAATAACAAAAAACAAACAAAAATAACGACAAAAACCAACAAACAACAACGATAAAAAGCAACGACAATAACAAACAACAACAAATAACAACAACGGCAAACAATAACAAGCTACAATAGTAACAAGCAACAATAATAAGCAAAATAACAACAAACAACGAATAACAATGACAAGCAACAACAACAATAACAAGTAACAACAAACAACAACAAAAAACAATAATAAACAACAGCAAACAACAATAAACAACAACGACAAACAAAAACAAGAAACAACAAAAACAATAAACAACAACAGAAACAATAACGAACAATACCAACAAACAACAACGGTAAACAACAACAACAATAACAACAAATAACAACAACAACAACAACAACAATAACAGCAATTCAACAAAATAGGAAAAGAAAGGGTGAGAGAAAAAAAGAACAGTGAAAAGGAATGAGTATGAAAAGTTGCTTTTGGATGAAATGGTATAAATTGCATTTGCTTCTTTCTTTCCTTTTTCTTTTATTTTTTCTTTTCTGAAAATTTTCTTTGCCTCAAGAATTTTCCTCTTCCCGAAAGCTATTCATTGAGAGGGAATGATTCATTTCATTTACCGATCAATTTCAATTGGCAAATACAATCAAGCAGATGACGAAAGTTAGATGATGATAAATGGTACAAAGTACTCTTTTTTTTATATATATAATAATGTTTGACCTTTTCCGCATCAAAGTGTCGCCGCAAAATTTTTTTTTTCCTGAAAAGTTAGAAAAAAAAATCTTTTTAACCTAATTTGATGCCTATGAATGGTTGAAAAAAATTCTCGCAACGGATAATTTCAAATTTTCAAATTTTAGGATTTTAACGAAATTTGAAAATTTTCGAAGCAAATTAAATGCCATAACATTTCGTAAACAAAACAAAAAACAAAAAATAAAAATTGAACATTTCATCGAAACTTTTGCTTTTCCCTTTTCTTTTTTTCATTTTTTAAAATGAATTCGAAGCTTATGAATGGTTGGATGAAAAAGATTTTGTGATGAATAATTTCAAATTTTCAGATTTTATCAGAATTTGAAAATTTCATCGAAAGCGCTTCTATTTTCGAACTGAAATAAATAGTATAAAAATTGTTAACTAATTATTATTTTTTATTCCATATCAGATTACTAAATATTTGATACAAGGACAAAAATATTTGACACAATAATAAAAATAGTTGACACAATAAGAAAATATTTGGTACAATAACAAAACATCTGATACAATAACAAACACTTGGTACAATAACAAAATATCTGACACAATAACAAACACTTACTACAATAACAAAATATTTGATACAATAAC